CGGGTTGGTGGATTCGGGTCGAGATTTTCCGTCGGATCCGCCATGAGTCGGAGAGAAAGCAACCGAGAAAGTACGATTTCGGGGATTCGGCAAATCGAGTAAATACAATTTGACCGACTAGAAGAAGTCAACAAGCGTCTTCGTAAATGGGTTTGGGCTTGTATTTTTAGTAAATGAATCGACTAAACGATGTCGTTTAGTAAAATTGACCTGGAGTTTGAAACGATGTCGTTTGAGGGTGTTTTTGCTTGTTATACAACTTGCAAGCTAAGCCAAAAACCAAAACACAAAATACATTGCTCAAGTACTTATCGTAGAAGCAAAATAAAAAAACTCAGAGAGGGTTTAAGATTTTGGAGCAGAACTTTAGTAGATGAGTAGCTGTATCTTCTTCTTCTTTGATGAGTTCCAGCTTGAAGGACTCGCCGGCCTTCACTCCCTCCATTAACTTCACAGAACTCTATCCACTCTTTTCCCAATCTCATTCTTCCATATTTGTCCTCAGGTTTAAGACTTGTTGTCCTTTTCACACCGTATCGATCCACTAGAGTTATCTTCCTCGCTTTCTCAATACCATTTGCTTTCATAAATGTCGCGGGTAGACACTGCCATAAAGACTACATTACAAACTCTGCTAACAATGTTAAAATGATTGATGAAAACTTACTTACTTACCAGTTTAAAGGCCTTCAGAGTGTATGGTGTGGGAGTTAGTGTCAAGAATCTGTGTGATGAACACAACTGGATAACAGGTGCTGTACCGGTTTGCACAAGTTTAAAGGTCAAGAAATCATTGGCTCTTCGTCGATTTTCGCAGCAGAAAATTTTCCAACCACTTTTGATGTAAACCCGACCGCGTGTTTTGTGATAATCCAAGGGCAATCTACATGGCTTCCCACCTTCATTCAGTAGAATGATCTCACACTTACGATTCATCAAACCATTAGTTCTTGAGAACTCCATAGGAAGAAACTGCAAAACTTACAAAGAGCTTACATGAATAATAATAAAAACTCCTTCAAGCATTAGGTTTTTGATTTTAAGCAAGTAAACCAAATGCAGAAGTAACTTTTCACCAGCATATCTTTGCTTAGATTCCACGCGGTGACACTTGCTACAAAACAAGAGTGATCTGATGAAGATCCTGCTTCTCTTGTGTGTTTATACTTATCCGAGTCGGAATCTGTTTCAACTTTGAAATGAGAATCAAAACAGGATCTTGGAAAATAACTATTATATTGCATTATAGATTGAAAATTCAAAGGTGTATTTCGTTTGAGTAAACCAAGTGTAAACACCATTACTGATTTTCTCTAACAAAAATGAGGATTGAGCTTTTTGTAAGTCGTACTCTTACCAGAAGTTATTTGAATGA